ATAAAGAACCTGAGTGTTGCTCTGACATGACTCTGTCATGTTTTAGTGTGATTCTTTTGCAGCATCTGACAGTGAGGGCTTGATCAGTATTTGAAGTCGATGAGGAATTAGAATCTCTGGATAAATATCAATCCTTGGCCCTCACCTGTCCTGTGGTCACAACACTCAACTCTGATTCAAGCCATTCTGTCTGTAGCCATAAGTTCTTGTTTAAGAGTAAGCGCCGCAGCAGCAACAAAGCAAACAAACGTCTGTGTCTTTTTAAATGTTCGACGGTAACATGAATCCTCTCGTACAAACCTCCGAACTATCGACTGGGCATGGGTTTTGCAGCAGCCCACAAATGCTGCTGTAACATGCCAGCAGATGGCAGAATCTGTGTGTGTGCCACCAGCACAACGAAAGTTATGGATTTCAATTCTGTGAATGCTTTACATACGTGACACAGCTGGTTCCTAAAGTAGTCCTACAGGCACTCCATACACAACAGATAATTACAAAGAAACACGGCTACTGCTCTGAGCAGACAGGTCCGTGAAATCCTTGGAATGTTCCATCCAGTCGCTCTGCACCTGTTGTTTGGGACAACACTGTCGTCAAGAAGCACCAGCATCCAGTGAGTATGAAAAGGTAGCTGATGACCCGAGATGCATCAGCTGCAACATGAGTGTGTTTGTGAACATTACAGAAAAGTGCATGTATGAATGTGACTGGGTCAGTGAGGCTTTCATGAAAGCACCAGTCCAATGATCATTTTTCAATCAATAGATATTGACAAGAAACTATTTTTCAACAATTTCAAACAAGGAATTTGTACACAGAAACCAAAACTATGAGGACATTAGTTAAATGAGGGTTCAATCTAAAAGGCAGAGCACCCTAGTCTTTGTTGGATGATGCTTTTTAGCTCCATCTGCAAAAAACATGCAAAAAAAGGAAAACAAATGAAAGAGTATGTTTAGAAAGGATAGTGTTGCACTCCTCTAGTGGTTTTCAGAGACTCTATGAATCAATGTGAACATGCAACACATTAAATGACGGCCCAGCAGTTTAGTAAAGGCACCTGCATGGTTCCTATGGAGGAACGACAGACAGCAGGTTGTTCTCTGTCACAAACACGCTCTGTGGGCTCGTCTTGCTTTTGCTCTTGTTGGTCCTTCAGCTGGCTGGAGAAGACTGAAGTTCTAACACACACAAAGCTGCGTCTACTGCAGCCACATTGTCCTTTTCCCACGTCAACTATGCTGTCAATCCCCTGGAATGGCACACTGCATACTCAGAACCTTTCACTCTGTGCAGCCAAATAGCAACACAAAGACACTAACGAGCAGCCTCGAACCCTGATTAAGACACTGGCCTCAAAATAAAACCACGAGTTTTCAGGAAAAGTTTGCAACAACTTGTTTTATTGATGCGTGCAGCTTGCATTTACAAGTGTACGTTAATATAACTCATTTTGTAATGAGTTACTGTCACTGATGACACACTGCCAGGTTTGAATCGTGATAGTGACACAGTCTTAGCTGAACGTAAGCACAGAAGCAGGTTAGATGGATTTCTCCCTGGAAATTTCCAGCAAACGTATTAAATTACTAATTAAGACTTTAATTTAACAATAAAGTAACTTCCTCCTTGTAATGCTTCAGCATTGTTACAAAATGCACAATCATACATGATACAATAAAAGTGAAAAATCATTTCTAGCTAGGACGTTGTTTTTTTTCTCATGAAGCAAAAACTACATCATCAACATCAACTACAACCCTTTAATGATAGCATTGTATCTTCTGGATGAGGTAGGTTTCATGTGTGTGTCTGCACCTGTGTGTGTCTGCATGTTGAAGTGTATCAGTGAATGAGTAATTTTAAAAGAGTACGTTAGGCTACAACGAAGAAAAGTGAGCGTATTAGCTAAAGCTCACACTGTGATGCTAAATGTTGTGCTGCTGAAAACAAGATGTTAGATGCTCAGAATGAATGGGATTGTAATTCAGTGTCCAACATTAGAGCACCAGGAGTTCTGCTGACCTGCCAAAAAACTTTTCTATTTATATTGGAAACACTAACAGTTTTATTAATATTTGATTTCATTTAGCTTTGAAACTGAAAAATAATGTTACAAATGCTTTGAAACGTGGTCTAGTACACCCCGTGCCCCCATCAGACTCCCCTCTACTACTGCTCTCTTAGCATCGTAGAACGTTAGGGTTTTTGATTTGACCTGTTCAGAATACGCTTGGTTCGTTTCTGGTGTGACTCTGCTTGTTGTCATTTTAATTTGTTTCCATATCGGCTGAATGTTTTTTATTGTTGTAAAGTGGGTGATATTTGCACAGGAAGATTTCAGAGAACTTCCAACACAAACAACAGTTGATGTTACGCAGACGTCCCAGCCTCAGTAAACAGGACCATCATGGCCGTGCTGATCAGTTTGACGCAGACTAAAGGAAGACGCTTCCACTCAAAGTTTTTAGCTCACTTTGGCTGTTTTACGTTGTGCCAGTTTTGTAAGCAAACATTGTTATTTCATTTATGTGCGTTTGTAGTCTGACCATTCAAACTAACTGCATGCCACATTTAGCTCATTACCCATATTAATAATTTCACGCACATCAGTGCTTTATGCACGTTGCATTCACGAGTACAGTGGATTAGAATCACCAATGAAGCTAGCAGATGTCTGCACTGTGGGAGGAAGCTAAAACACATCTTTTCCAAAAGTCTGCTTATTATTTTGACCTGAGTTCAATTTGTTAACTTTGAACCTCGTCTAGGGGCAGCCGTGCCCTCACTTCCAAATGGCCTCTCCTAGTGTTGAGCTTTTCTCTGTAGGATACCGGCCTGTTTGTACCTCTGTATTGTGTGTCAGATATCGCCTGTCATAATACCAGGACACATTTTAGGTGATATAAACATGTCAAAACACAATATAATAGCAAGCGACGGCATCCAGTTACATTTCGTAGCGCACACAACGGCACAAGCTAAGATATCACTGAGAGAGACAGAAACGTGTCCGTCTCCAGTGAGCATTTAGTCAATCAAAACTGAGCTTCTTGAACAATCTCACAATACTTGGAAAAATATGCAAAAAAGTAACAAACCGTGTGACTCAAACACACACTATCGAGTGCAGCCTGGCTATGACAGCGTGCAGGGACGAGATCCTGGCAGCTGCTGATGTGCAAACCAAAAGCAAACACAACTCCACCAAGCATCGCTGCAACATTTCAGCTAGCTGCCCTCCATATGACAGGAGGAGCAAACAGCGTGATGATGTGGTTACATGGTGCAAAAGCAGCTCGTTAAATAACTCGACCCAAAATACAGAATCAAAGCCTGAAGATATGTTTTAATTGTAATCTTATTGTGCAGATTCCTGAAGAGTTACAGAGTGAAGTTATTGTTAAACTAAAATGGCGGGATATACTTTTCCTTTAAAATTTCCAGGGAAAATGCTACTTGTAGCACACTTTGTTGTCAATGTCAGTAGCTGCTGGAAAAGAAGGATGGAAAATGCAGTTTTGTTTGCACTTAAAAATACAGCTGCACCAAGCTGCAGTTAATAACAAAACATCAGTATTTGTTTGTCTTCTATACTGTCAAACATATCACAGCTTTCCTTTAAATGCTGTAATTAATATATATATATATATATATATATATATATATAAATAAGAGATCTCTGTCCAAAAGAGCGCAGACCTAGGAACAGCTAAGATACTGCGCAGGACCCTCAAGCTCCCAGGCTGTGGTAGAGGACCCGAGCTTGAAGGATTGACTTCCCGCAGGGGCGAGAGGAGAATTTTATATGTATGTATATAACAACTAAAAGCAGAAATCCAACTACAGGCCAACGTCAGGCAGCTAGCATACATGTAACTGCGAGCAGTAGACAGAGATACTTGTGTAGGCTACATTAAAGGCTATACATAGGTTCACTGCACCAGCATAGATCAAGTAGAAGCATTTGCTTTTGTGTGTGTGTGCGTCTGTGTGTGTGTGTGTCTGTGTGCGATTACACAGTCGCATTTGAACCAGGTAACCTTTCATTGTCATTTGGTTTAACAAAGTCCTAAAGGCACACTCCTGGTGCTGGTCCAGACTGTCTCACATGGTGTTGCTCATTACTATTAAAGGTCTGACTCACCAATCTGTGCTAAACATCAGGTATACATGCACTACTGAGCCTCAGAACATCAAGGCCAAACTTTGGCATGTTTAATCTCAACCCAGAGGTAATCCACTGCAAGGACTCTAGATTTACCATCAAACACGTGTGATATAGATGTTGTTCTTACAAAAACAACAACAACAACAACAACAACAATAACAACCCACTGAGAGAAACACTGACCTGTGTGAACACAACTCAAGTCCACTCAGGTGCAGAGTATTTGGCAGGAGTGGAGCGGTGCATCAAACACAGGAAACAACAATATGAACAACTTGCACCTGCTGGTGAATAAAATGTTATAAACTCACTGACTGGAGAAACAGCAATGACAAGTATTGAGATGCTTTAGCGCTGACCCATCTGAAACCTTCATGCAAGTAGAAGCATTCACTACATCTGCTCTAGTCCTCACAGTTGTGTTCATTTCTAACTAGCTTGAGCGAGAAGCACAGACAGACCTCAGAGCAGTTACAATTCATGCTGATCATGTGCTAGAAAACAAAAGCCATTTGTTGCACTTTCTGAACACTGCTAAATAGAAAAGTTACGGCCCATCAAAACCATTCTTTTTGTTTATTTGCTTTTTTAAGCCCATCGAAACGCTAACGGTCCAACTGTAGACAGACATGAGGCCACTTTTAGAACGCTCGGGTCACACGCCAGGACCCTGACACAGTCAACGCACAATTTAAAGTCAACACATGCTCCTAACATTGTGTATATATAAATGATCACACACACACAGGTTACTATACTGTGAGTAAAGAAGAGTTTCCACTGTTTTGAAATCAGTGGGATTGTGTATATTCTGGTGTGTACTAACTCTTGTTCTTGCGGAGCAGGGCTGAGGCGATCCAAGGTTCTGACTGGACCATCCTGCAAGTGGGCACAGTCTGGTCTTCCACAGATGACGACGTGACAACCATGGAAATGCTTGGAAATGTCCAATGCAGCAGGGAAACAGTGTCAATCAAAACGGCGTGACAGACGAGCAGAACTCGTGCGGGTCAGGTAACTGTCATCAATCCCAGAGTTTGCTTCAAAAGTTTACATCCAACTAAAAAAGGAATCTTGACGTGGTGGGAAACCAACCAACCAACCAATCAAAAGGCACCGTCTTCTCTGGCTTGTTTTTAAAAAAAATGTTTTTTTTTAATCTTTTGTGACTGTGGTTTCTAAGGCAACCAAATGGTGTACAGGCAGCTTGTCTCTCGGAAGTAAAAATATAAAGGATGTAATTTCTGTCTTTTGTGGTGTTACACTATATATAGATCTCTCATGGTACATATAGATATATATTCTGTCTCTCTGCAGACATGGGAGTGGAAGGGAAAGAATATTTGGTTAGTCAGGTCAGTTTCTCGTTAGGTTGGTTTTGGCAGTTTCATGCATTCTTTCTGTGCGCTGGAGGCGTGTATCACTCCAGGTCGCTGGTGACTGATCTTTCAGGTAGTCAAAAGCAAGCCTTTTATCGAATCTAGTGTCTACTGCGATTACGCGTTGAGGCCAAACGTCCCAGGGATAAAGGCATAGAGTCTCTTTGATACGTTCAGTAAGTCTTGGCCAGAATAAACCAAAAGTAAGTAGCTAGTTCTTCAGCCATTTCAGGAGCAATCCAGAACGGGCTTTGTGTCCGCTGAAGATTTGACCAGTGGAGCACAGGACTGCTAGTTTTGCCAGGTTCCTTAGACTACATGGTCAGTATGGTTCAAGCACATCTCTTATTATTATTATTATTATTATGCAGCAGAGTATGTCCAGTTGTTGCTGTTTTTCCAGACTACTTATAAGCCACCTCAACTAGCTGTAAGTGGAACCTGTGCTAACCAGGCTCGCCAAGCATACTGCCAGGTGGACGAGCGAGGTAGGATGATAGATGGGATGGAAGAGAAGGAGATGGAGGGGAGTTGGGTTTCCAGCTGCCTGCTTTTACCCCATCCCTGACACTAAAAATAGCCCCAATTACTGGTGCTTTCTGGGGGACTCGTTGCCAGACAGAGTAGGACAGCACAGAGTGATGTGATCACTCAGACTAATCCAGTGACACAAACAGCCTGCACCGAGAAAGTCACACAGTATATTCAGCCTGAGCTCCACGCAGTCCTGTGCCGTTTCCCTTCAAAGCCTACAGCAAGAGGTGGCTGCCCTCTGTCAGGCTAAAAAGGCGCCCTTTTATTAGCCAAACAATATTAGTATACACTCAGCCTTAACAAGAAGCACTTTTTGCGCAATCCAGTGCGCCTTGTTGCTTCAGAGGTGTGTAGCTCCACACAAAGTTACTCTAACTGTACTTGAGCATTCACGAGTCAACGGGACCGCCGGCTGGCGCAAAGTGACGAACCACCAGCACGGGAACACTTCACCTCAGCCGAGGAACTCTTTCAGCTCCGATTCAGAAGCGGAGGAAATACCGAGAGGCGGTATAGCTCCAGCGTCTGTGCGCTGGGGCCGAATGTCCCCCGCGTTAGACAAAAGCCGACGACGGGCCGCGTTACACTCCGAAACACCGGCCCAATAACACGGTCCAGGAAGAGGTCGAGTCTCTGAGGTAATTACTCGATAGCAATATCGCAAACAACGACTGAACTGCAACAAGCCAAAACTTCAGAGTCGCCTCGGAGTAAACAAAAGAAACCAATTCCAGAGTTCCTGAGCTTGCTGCCTTTCGCTTCTTGACGGGCCCACTCGTCAGTCTGCTTCCGCTTTCTTCTCTCGCACTTACTGTCCTCGTATACTCGTCCTTCTCAGAACGGGAAAAATAGTTTTATTCCTTCAAGGTGGAAACCTTCTCCGGGGCGATTGTGAGTCATGTTTTTCGCCCGTTTCCTTCTCCGTTAGACAGAATCTGTGCGCCTCTCCCACACGCTCCCCCACCCTGCGATAGGGACTGTACCATGTGCCGGTGGCAGGGGTCGGGGCTGGTGTGTCTGGCACAGATACACAGAGTACTATTAATACCAGCAGAGATGCGAACACAGGTTAAACACGTGGCATTGTGGACGTTTCACACAGACTGTCGTATCAACTACCAAAAGCGTTTCAAATAACGATACGAAACAGCATCAACAAATCAAGTGAGTTAGCGGTACAGCTGCCTTCCCTCTGACAGCAGTAGTCTGCTCCAAGCAAACCTCTCCCGTCCTGTCCATTTATAGTAACAGCGGGATATATATACTGGAAGTTTATACACAGGCATACATGGAAATCGAAAAACGATTGAACATTGTATACACGGGACAGCTTTGATGGACGACTGTTTTACATAACATTAGTCCGTGTTAACAGTGTTAAAATGAGTAAAACAGATCATCTCTACTGCTCTGTTTTACTTCAAACTACATCAACCTTAGTTTGTTCTCGGTGGACAGCAGCCTGTGAGACCGTAAAAACGAGTAGTTAAAATGACAGTTTAATTAATGCGTTATTCGGTTGTCAGAAATGAACCAAATGCCACGTTTATGTTGCTACCGTGTAACACACAAAGGCTCTTTTTGTTCTGGCTTTCAAAATGTTCTAACTTCTCTGTACTCTGGCAGTCGTAGCCTCTACCCTCACTCTGCACGCACACTCTCTGTTGCTACCCGACGCCATGGCAGCTGCAACGCAATTGGCTACATAAAGTCCCATCCCCTGCTGTAATTGGGTAGCAACGGCTCTGTGGGCGGGGCGGTCGGCTTAGTTTCCCTGGGTCTCTTCTAACGGCGCGGTGCGAGGCAGTGGTGACGCGGAAATAGTTTGAAGATGTCAGGTAGAAATGGAAAGAAGGACAGGCAGACCGAAATGGTGGGGGTGGAAATACAGCGGGGGAGAGAAAGGGGCAAAAGGTTCCAATAAGCACATGGTCACTGAGTGACTTTACAGCTGAGAGGTTTGACTTGTCTTTACAAACCAGCCAAAGCTAAAAGTTGTTCCTGTTGCTATCCGAGCATTCTGGCTAAATCAAGCACAATGCTGCCTGGGAACAGCGCAGTGTTAGAAACCAGCTGATAGCTCCTTGCATTAAAATCACCCTCAAACTCAACTGCCTCAACAAATGTGTCAGTGCTCATCAGTTTTTAGGATTTGTTTTAAATACAGGCTGACTCTGGAACTGGTGTTGAATGAAGTCATATATGGTTTTAAAAAGTAACAGCCTAACTAGTCCACAATAGCTTTGCGTAATCACCTCCCAGTGGTTCATCATTCTAAATGTAGTGCCGTTTCAAAAGGGCAGAATCTTCTGTCACGTCTACTGCTGGGCTTTACATCCTGATTGTTGTATTGGTGTTATATTTCTGTTATTTTGAGATGACACAGCTTATTAGCTCCAGTATGTAATTCATTTATGGGCAAATGCTGTTAATATAGGCCTATGAAGGGCATGCTACAACAACAGACAGATACTCTAGTTTTGAACACCAAGCTAAATTTCACACCAAATGTATCAGAAAGTCCCCAATTTATGCCTTTGCAATGTTCCTCTGACTGCAGCCATCTCCAAAACACTTGGGGTCCAATTTCCCTCACAATCACATGATGAAAAACAGCAGACCAATCACAGTTAAATTAAGACAGCCTGGCTAAATAATCAAATTTTCATTTAAAAACAAATCAATGAAAATAAAAGGCATAACAGACAAATGCAAGACAGTGGCAACAGGGTATTACATGAAGATTTATTGCTACAGGTGCTCTACTTCAAAAATGACTCATGCCCAGCTAAGGGTGACTGGGCCTGTGTAGGAACCAGTGCAATGTAAAGCATGCTACAAATGGAAAAGTGCAGCCCCCCCAAAGTTCTACAGGGAGACAGTGGTTTGGCAGCTATGATGGTTTTAGTAAATATGATCTAACCTAAAGTGAATTTCTTCTGAACAATGATTAAGCTGCTATTTGGGTGCAAATGCCAGAAATCTCACTGGATCTAAAGCTGGAAATAAAAATAAGAAAAGCCCCAAACTAAGCTGTAAAACCAACAGTGAATAAAAGAGGCAGATCAGGATTTATAATAAAGACAGATGAGTAAGGAAGGTTTATACCTTACAGCCAGATGTATCCATAACAATTAAAAAGACAGCTTTTCACTGTCCTACCACAGTGCAGACCTGGACAGTCAACACTCTTTGAAAAACTCCTCATCAGAAAATGGTTTCTGCTTATATGTGACCTTCAAAATAAAAGCAACAAAGGTGTATTATAATTTCCATAAAAGTAAAAACAAACAAACAAACAAAAAACTCCTGATGAGGAGTTTATCAAAGACTGTGTGACTCAAAGACTGCCAAACTTTCTCCTTGACACTGGACGAGAACTTTCAGATTTGAGACACAGCCCAGTTTCTCATTTTTGTATGTGGGATTACAAAAGTGTTTGATATTACGGATAGGCTGGGCCTGAAATGGATCAAACTGGCAGGTGTTACAACGATGGCTGTCCAAATCTGAGAGAAACAAAACACGTTTGAAGCAGGTGCAAGAAAATGAAGCCAGAACTGAAAACAGGTATTTTTGCATTTATCATACACCAGCAGATGTTGTATAGCATAGTGTTGATGTTAAAATCAAAATAGTTAACTTCATTAGGCAACAGCAATGATCATAGACAGTTTATTGAGCATGATACAGTCGACGGTGACACAGGCTACCACACATCTGGTGGCTCAGCCAAAGTGATTCAAAGAATTCAAGAGTTTTGTGAGAAGTAAGGCAAGGACATCCCAGATGCAGAGTGGACGGGCGATGGTGCATTTGCTCAGACCCTGAACCTGACTTTAATGTACTAGTTCAAGCCCAAATCAGAGGTTTCTCTCAGGGGATAAGGAGAAAGAACTGAACAAAATGAGAGATGAAGCAACTGAATTACAATTAAAATAGCAGTAACACTTTATATAAAGTTAAAAGTCACATGCACATTTTGTTCATAATTGATTTTAGGAAAACTGATTATATGTTGGCTTTTGCTGTGCTGATTTCACATTTTCATTGGCCAAGGACAAACAGCACTATGACAAAGTTGACGTCAAACCGATGTTACATCTGCTGTCACTAGCAGCACTTTGCAGGTCATGCACCTCTTAATGCTTGTAACCTGTCATGCTGTGCCGCTACCACTGATTTGAACACACAACAGTATAATCAGTGCAAAGATCAGAGATTCACAGATTATACACAAAGATATGCTGCAACAGTTTGAAAATCTGAGATTTTTTGGGGAAAAACAAAACAAGCTGTAAACAATTTCCTTGCTTCCAGTTTTTGGTGTTTCTCCTGCTGTAGCACTGCTGATGGGAGTTACTGTCTGAGAGGCCACGCCCATTATTCAGTGATGTAACGGCGATGTGCGAAGCAACTAATGACAATTTAATTGTAACATCTACTCTTACCAGTAGGTTTATACAATGATAAAAATTAATACTGATTATAAACAAGTTTATCTTATTGATACTCCACAACAGACCTGGTTTTCATGTGGCCCTTTGGGAGAATGAATTGCACAACCCAGAGCTTATAACATTTCTACTCTCACGATGCAGTCCGCCACCCTTCGAAACTATAAAACCAAAAACATTTAATACAAATATCTAAACTATGACATTTATATACAGTCTTGACTCACATTTCTTTATATTTATCGTCCAAAGCCAGAGTTACTTGTCATTTTTTTCACAGTGGTCTTAAGCAAAACTTCTTCTACTTTCTGAAGGTCTTTCAGAGTTTTTATTTGGACATTGGCTTCTTTTTCACTTGTTTTTAGTCCAACGCTTGTACCTGACCACTTTCAACATTACATCTTGATATCTGGCCCATGAAACATAAAAAAGTACTTAACTTTTAGACATGTACTAATCTACACATAACAGACAGTTCAGCAAAGAACCAGTTTCAATTGTTCTCTTTAGGCAATTTTATAATAGCAGCCTTTTGCAAAAAACACATTTGTTCTCATTCTTTTAGTTGACTCAATTTAAAAAATGCAAATATAGGCATTAAATGGTATTTTTGAAGTAACAATGTGATTCCCAAAAAGCTATTAGCTGAAAACTATCATATCTTAAGAGTGTTTGCAGTGTCCTTAAAAAACTGAAGGTGGACAAGGGAAGGAGTCCAGTAAAGACATGAACCTTGACTGTGAGATGCATCTACTATCCACTGAAGCCTCATCAGGGATGGTCAAATGGGAAGAAAAATGGGAAGAAAAGACTGAGGTATGCCAAATTACACAATCCAAATGTAATAATCAGTTCAAATTGAGATCAGTATGTATGAGGAGGTCAAGGGAAAGGTCCAAATGTGAGCGCTGTCATGGTTTAGTCACTCAGTGGTTTTAGAGATCCTGACAAAATTGATGAAAGTATAAATGTAGAAACATTCGGTCTGGAAATGGTTTGGTTTTTCAGCATGACAATGATCCAAAACACACTGCCATTGCAGTGAAAGCATAGTCGGATAGAAAACATCACAATGAAACACTATCAGTCGTGGATTGGGTTCCCTCAGACCTCATCATTAAAACAGGATAAGATAAGATACGCTAAGATGAGCTTTCCTGCCATTGTAAGCATGAGCATACAATGAAATTGGAAACATAATGAAACACTGAAGCAGTGTGGGCTCTTCTTGACAAAAAACAGAGCAAATACAGAAACAGCCAAAGAGATTTGAATGTCCTTCAAGACGCCCGGAGAACTATTCCTGAAAACTATTTAAAGAAGTTACGGGAAGCTGCTGAAGAGAGCAGTGAGAGGAAGTAAAGAGAGGCTGCTTTGAAGAGTGAAACTGGTCATACCAAATATTGACGCTCAAGCTAGTTAGAACTGTATGTACATACTATATCTCCATGTAAGTGCAGCATTATTTCCCGTTTTCCTAACAAAATATAAAGAAACGTGGAGTGGCTCATGACTTTTGCACAGTACTGTACACTCAGGACTACGTGGATACTG